ATACGCGAAGCGATTGATAGAAGATGTCTTGCTCCACGTGCCTCTATCGTCTTTCCACCTCATCGCTTTCAACCTCTCCTCGGAATTTTTCGGTCACGGATCTGAACGCCCGCGGCACTCTGAGGCTTCATGACCTATTTCAAAATGAAGTTTTTGGCTCCTCTTTGGAGTAATTAATCAGGTAACATGAGACACTCTTGCTTGTTACTCTTGAAGTTTCTCTAACCTTGAGGTAACGAAATCGGTGGTTTTCTTACTCCTATTCAGAGTAACTTCCATGGTAACATTGGTTACATGGTAACATGGGAGTGTGGGTTCAATGAAGCGTTGATCGAACACGATCGCGCGGAAGTCTCCGAAGATCACGGGGAATTCATTTCCATGACAACAGAGCACTTCGTTTCCTCCGGTTTGCAGCAGGTTTACCTGCCACTAGTTTTAATGACGAAATGGTGCACTTGAAGCAGCAAAAAGGACACTTTCCGTCACCAACAAGTCAATATCTTTCCTTTGGTTGGTCTCTTTCCTCCCGAAAGTCCCCAGTAGTGGCAACCCAGGGAGCAGGGAAAAAAATTCAGAAATGAAATTCACATCGAAATTCAGTAAACTCCACAACCACAACTATGGAGCTTCAAATTTTCCAGAGCGATTTTGTGTTGAGGAAGGAAGAAACTTGCCACCTATCGTTTCTGTTAATACTCTTAAAGAGGAATGCGAGACGGTTGAGTTTTTTCGCTGGAAGGGGTTGAAGAAAGGTCGATTCTATGAACGAATGTTGCTTTTCCTTACGACCATTTTATTCATTTCGAAAGAAGCATGCAAAGGATGGTTAGAGGCAGAACGATCGTTTAGTGGAGACAGAAAAAGAATAGAAACCGAGAGGAGAGTTCAACCTTGATTCCTTGCCCTGTATCCACGAGTCTTGTAGTGGGGAATAATTCGTAGATTTCGGGCTTTCGCGTTCTCATCGGTTTTTGCGCGTCTTGCAATGAGCGATAACTTGAAGAATATTTCATGCAAATTTTTATTTTTCCTCTATTGGCGAGATCGTAACACCTGCATATCTTGGAAGTCTCCACGTACGCCAGCTGATTTGATCTCGTAATACCTCTTGTGCCGGATATAATTATAAGAAATTCGACAGAAAGCACCTCCTAATGACAAGATAAACGGTATCTAGAGAAAGAGGAGCTGTTTGCAGGTGGCAAGGAGGAGAAGCAAGAGGAGCAGGAAGGAGGATGTGGACTGGGCCAAGGCTGCCGTGTTGCACAGGTCCGAGTTGCAATAACATGTCGTCATTTCGCCCTGTATTTTATGGCATTCTTCTTTATTCCAGATGCCACAGTAGGACGCCTGGAGGACACCTGTGAGAAAAACGTATCAAACCCAGAAAGATTTGAAGAAATATTGGCAGGAAAATGTGTGGCACCGAATTTCACATGCTAATTGAAGCAGGTAGCCCGGATAAATACCACCTCGTTGCACATTATTTTGCAAACTTTTAAATTGCAAATCCTTCAGCCCACACGAGATGATTCTGCACATTATTTTTTCCGAAGAGAAGTGGGAAGCGTAATTAATTAGTACGGAAGTTAATCATTATTTTGTGACATTCCTAGCCAGTGATAAAAACTTTTGTCGTTTGCGAATGCATGGAGTTTTTTGACATAATCGATATATATTGTTCGCCTCACTACATTGGACTTCTATGAAGAATTTGCTTGATATCGATGAAATAGATACAATCAAATTCGTATATACTCACATGTCTGGATGTTAGTACTTCCAGGTTTTGAACTTTCTCAGTTAGCCCACCTCCAAAATTTAGGAAGGAATTTTCCAGCCATTACTTTTTACGGCAAAATGCAACAATCGAGATTTTTTTAAATGAAAATTTTGAAACTGTTTCAGTTTCAAATTTTGCTCTAACTGTTTCAGTGCCGTCTGGCCGACGGCCGGTAGGTGCCATCGGCCCAATCGGCCCGACGGCACCGAAACAATTAAAGTTTATCGCGCATTATCTTCTTGCCAAGTCGAGAAAAGGTCATTTCAGTGCTCACCTTCCTTGTCCCAAGTAGAAATACAAAACTCTTCAACAAATGGGACATCCATGCAATCTGCTCTTATCCAGTTGGATTCGTCCTTGCATTGACCTCCATGGCATTGATTGCATGTCAATGCGCTGCCACACCCTGTAGAATGAAGCATCAGAGTGTTGCGGTGGCTAGCCATACTATCGTGTCAGGTAAGAGACGTCGCTGTTTGGTGAACATACCGACGAGGGCGAGAATCCCGAGAAATATTAGCAGCTTCATGATGGAAAATCTGCAATGATTGTATGAAATAGGGAAATATGTTGAGTGTTCTGGACTGACATTAGGTAAACATAGGTAAATTATTGTTAGACTAAAAATGTACATATTCCCGTTTTGTTTCATTAAATCAAAAAGAAGCGAGTATTCATTTTAATAATCAAGAAAGATAAATAACAACTTGTTTTTTTTTTTATTATTATTTAAATAGCAATCACAGGACTTCCAGAGAATTTACACAAGGGGGGTTTCGTGGCCTTCACTCGGTAATGTGGATTACAGAATTTCTATAGCGTAAAATATTTCGAATAGAAGGAAAAACCGGATGTGGTCATTGTGCGGAGAGTTCCAAAGCGTTTTGCACAAACAACGTATTGCAAAATGGGAATGATGGTAAAATTTATCATAGACTGGATGGGATTGACGTACCTGGAGCGTAGACACAGCGAGGAAGTGACTCAAAGATAACGCTTCTTTCTGTCGACATTTCCCCCGGATTTTATGGCGGAAGAGATAAGCATGTGGAGCTTATCAGCTGAGTTATCAGCTTGAAAGGGCCTTAAGCCAACTTAGCGTGCAACGAGAGGCAAAAATATCCAGTATCTCAGATTCGACCAAAACATTTTCGCACAAAGGTACATGGAAATTTAGCGATATTTCGCCTCATATGCATATGGACCGAAAGAAAATACGATTCCGATCCTGTCGAAGTGGCAATTTTGGACATTTCATGAATGATGCCAATAGTTTGACAGAGAAAATGATGGACCAGGAAAGACAGCGTTACTCTTGATTTGGCTTACATTTGGCTTACATCCCCCAAGTGAGAATATGTCCCTGCAAAAATGATACATAAATTTGCAGCTGGAGCTCTCATCCCCTGTAGGTCAGAGGGGGAAATCCAGGGATGACGGAAACATTCGCAATTTCCTGAATTCATCGGTCTGTATCTTTTTGGCACGTTCTGCTTCTTCCTAGGAATTGGAACTTGTATTATGAATATAGCCATCGGGAGTGAATTTTGAACATGTTCTATCGACACAAGTTCCAAAATATTCTCGGCTGCAGGAAAGAGTGAATCTGTAGAACTGCAAGACAGATTTTGCAAGGATTTGGCGTTCAAATCAGTGAAACATCTAACTGAGAGAGGCCGAAAGTTGTCAAATTGAACGAGGCAAGAAGCGGCGGCGGATGAGCTGCGGATGATCTGCGGATGAGCTGCGGATAAGCGTCGCTCATCTTTTTGAAAATTAATTACTTCGTAATGCTAGATTTGATTAAGACGCGGGCGGGTTACACCATTCGAAAGAAGGGATAATTCTCTGTCAGGTAAAAAGTTTCTGCGTTTTTTGGCGATGGTGTCACTTTTCCTGAAACGTAATTTGAATTCCTTTTTCGGGGTCATTTAAAGGCCTTTTCGGGGTCATTTAAAGGTCTTTTCCATCTGAAAGCACGCCTGCGCCGCTGAGTCACGTCTGTCGTGTGTCTTATGGATTGTGTCTCCAATGTGATTCGAATCGAAAGGAGTTTGGGGAAAATGACTGCTTAACTATCGATAATCGCGAACCAATGGTTCCGCTGTACTCCGGATTCCGCCAGAACGTAACCGCGAAACCACGTGACGAAACCACGTGAAGAAATTCAACCGAGAAACCGTGAGCCGCATGCCGACCGCTTCGGCAAAAATGTTGACACATGCAGGAAAAAACAGCTGACTTTCGCCAGTTTGGACGCCCACTGTCGACGATGTCATTCTAGGCCACAGACAATGGCATCCTATCTACATAGGCAATCAATCAATAATCGATCAATTATAAAATGCAGCCCGATTATTGATTGACGCAGCTCACTGCGAATGCGGATCGCATTTCCCACGCATTTCCCTCGCATTTCCCTCCCATTTCCCTCGCATTTGCAATGCCACTCGGTTGATTGATGACGTTGTCTTTCACCCCTTACGGAAATGTCCTATAGGAAACCTATATATATTTCTTATAGGAAACCTATAGACTTTCCTAAAGGTTTTTGAAACACGAAAAACCTATTGGATGCTTTAGGATCCTATAAGATACCTATAGGATCTTATAGGACTCCTGACCTATAGGATTCAGGGAGGATATTTTGGGTTTCGAAACCCAGGCATTACGACGGAAAAGGCGACCGGGGTTAATAATGGCGCAGCATTTCGGTGTAAATCAAAAACCGATTAGGGGTTTTTCCATGGTAGGGACCAATGTATTACCAATACCAGTAACACGGGGGTCTGCATACTTTGCGACACATGTGCGGCCAGGCCGCACATGTGTCGCTAGATTGCACGTCTACTTCCTTCGGTAGAAAGAAGTTACAATCTTCTCTCAACCTAGGGAAATAGAAGACAGAACCTGCGAGCACGTCTCTTTACTGAAACTCCTTTTGGATAGAGTCTACACAGATTAGTAAGAGGTTTTCAAAAGGAATGGGGGCATATTTCTTCACAGGACTCCATGATTCTATCTGGAAAATGGGGATGACAAATAAGGAACTGTCAACGTTTATTGATTGCTACAATGAGGCAAGGCGAGACATTTGGGGACGTACAAAACTCTCTTATGAGAGATGATTTCTTGGGTAAGGGGAGGGCACTTTTGTTCCCTTTGAGAATTGTGGGAACCCAATACTTCCATCTAGTGGCCTAGAGGAGAACTTCAAACGGAACCCTATAGGTCCTATAGGTCCTATACGGTTCCGTATAGGCACAATAGGGAACCCTACAGGTTCTATAGAGAATCCGATAGGTCCTATAGCGAACCCTACAGGTCCTATAGGGAACCCTATAGGTTTTATAGGGAACCCTGCGAGTCCTATACAGAACCCTTTGTGGCCTATAGGGAACCTATAGGCCTTACGGAGAACCCTATTGGTTCTATAGGGAACCCTATAGGTTCTCTAGGGGGATCTATAGGTTCTATAGGGAACTCTATAGGTCCCAAACTGAACTTTATGGGGCATATAGGATCCTATAGGATTCCTTTAGGTTCCTATAGGATTCCCATAGGATTCCTATAAGACATTTTCGTAAGGGGGATGAATGCCGGAAAGATGAATCCGCTTCCTTTTGCCCTCTCTGCAGGAAATTTTGTAGAAATACGGTTTGCACGCAGGAACATGCAGCAACATGCAACAGGAGTTGGTACTGCGGTGACTGTCATCGAATTTTCGAGACCAAACAAATCCCTCAGGATAAACATCGATGTGGTGACCATGTCTGCAAGGGTTGTAAAAAACCGGTTGATTCCAGTCATCTCTGTCATCGTGCACGGAAGGATATGAAGCATCCTTCAGGAAAATACATATTTTTCGATTTTGAAGCCGATCAGTCGGAGGGTGGAATACATATAGCAAATTACTGTATTGCACAGTACGCCGATGTCTCTGTCATCGTGCACGGAAGGATATGAAGCATCCTTCAGGAAAATACATATTTTCCGATTTTGAAGCCGATCAGTCGGAGGGTGGAAAACATATAGCAAATTACTGTTTTGCACAGTACGCCGATGGCAAGGAATTCATATTTTCCGGTTATGACACCGAAAAGGAATTCGGGGAGTGGCTCTTTCAAAGGAGACACAAGGGATTTACAGCAATTGCCCACTGCATGAAATCCTACGATGGATATTTTATTCTCTCATACCTTCTGAAGTATGGACTGACACCCAAAGTGATAATGAACGGCGCCAAAATCATGTCCCTTGAGGTACCTTCTTACAAAATCAGGATTATTGATTCCTACAATTTCCTCCCCATCTCATTATCGAATACCTTCTGAAGTATGGACTGACACCCAAAGTGATAATGAACGGCGCCAAAATCATGTCCCTTGAGGTACCTTCTTACAAAATCAGGATTATTGATTCCTACAATTTCCTCCCCATGTCATTATCGAAGCTCCCGTCTACTTTCGCCCTGGAAACCATCTGTAAAGGATATTTTCCTCATTTCATAAATGATCTTGAACATCAACATTACGTAGGCCCTATTCCACCTCCTGAAGCCTATGGATGTGATTCTATGTCATCCCATGAGAGAAAAAAATTTTTGGAGTGGCATCAAGAGAAGAAAAATGAGGGTTACATCTTCACCTTTCAGAATGAGATGGAAAAGTATTGTCGTTCTGATGTTGACATTTTGAGGAGGGCATGCCTCAAGTTCCGAGATCTGCTGCTTCAGGTGGCTGGTTGCGACCCTTTCCAATATGTGACAATAGCATCGATCTGCCACGCCATTTTTAATCATCATTTCATCGAGCCTGATACGATAGCCATGGTTCCTTCCCACGGTTATCACCTAGAATCATTCTCCAAGGCCAGCATCGAATGGCTAGACTTCATCGCACACGACCAGCATATCAAAATTAGGCACGCGCTGAACCATCCAGACGGTGAAGAGAAAATCGGATCCTTTAGAGTGGATGGCTTTCATGTGGAATCTCGGAGCATCTTCGAGTTTCACGGTTGTTTCTTCCATGGATGTCAGCGCTGCTACGATCATGAAGTCATTCACCCCATCAAGCAGCTTTCCATGGAAACTTTATTTCTGAGGACTGAAGAGAGAGAGAGGAAATTGGAAAGGATGGGTTTCAAGGTTGTCAGCATCTGGGAGTGTGAGTGGAGGGAAAAGAAGAAGGAAAATGCCGTGAAGCAGTTTCTGGCACGACATGAAGTCGTGTCCCGACTTGTTTGTCGGGAGGCCTTCTATGGAGGGAGAACCAATGCAGCTGTATTGAAGTATGAAGTGAAGGGAAATGAGAAAGTCAAATATATTGACTTCACATCTCTCTATCCATATACGAACAAATACTGTGAGTATCCTGTAGGCCACCCTGTCATCATTACAAGGGACTTTCAAGACATCAGTGTCTACTTTGGTTTCATCAAATGCCTAATTCTCCCTCCTAGAGGTCTCTATCACCCTGTGCTTCCATATCGGAGCAATAAGAAACTCCTCTTTCCACTCTGCCGGACTTGCGCTGACAACAGGCAGCAGGAACGGTGTCGGCATGCCAACGAAGAAAGGGCCATACGAGGGGTATGGGTAACTGAAGAAGTGAAAAAGGCCGTGGAGATGGGCTACGTCATTTTGAAGACACACGAAGTTTATCATTTTCCCAAAACATCCAAAAATCTGTTCAGAGCCTACATTGACACCTTCCTAAAAATCAAACAAGAAGCTAGTGGCTGGCCAACTGGATGTTCAACTACCAAAGAAATGAGTGAATACATCAGATGTTACGAGGATCACGAGGGTATTCAGCTCGAGAAACAAAATGTGACTAAAAATCCCGGATTGCGAGCGGTCGCAAAATTGGCGCTGAACTCGTTTTGGGGGCGGTTTGGTATGCGTGAGAACTTGAGTCAAACGACCTTTGTGAAGAGCACCCCCGAGATGAACCGCTTTCTAGCCGACCCCAATATTAACATCAATG